AATTATTGTCGAAGAAATCGTTTGCACAGTTTCTGGATGGACGGCCAATACTTTTCTCTCTGTGTATACTCGACTCTATACTTTTATCATTACTTTGCCATTAATTATTATTATCTACATTAATAAATTAAAATGTTATATTAAAGTATACAAATATGCGCACATTTCGCTTGAAATACCTAAAAACCTTCGTATTATTCATAACCCAAAAACAGATAAGTCAATATTTTTTATTTGTTTATAAATAAAGATATCAGCATAGTCAATATTGTTTATTTCCTTAAACTTTTGTTAATTAATATCTTACTTTCTTATCGTCTTGAGAAAAATATAAATACAAAATAATCGACAGATGCGCCTATTGCTCAATCTCGAAAGAATTAAATTATAAGGTACCGAGAGGTAACGAGGTAACGAGTCGATGAAAATCTTAAGTAAGTATTGGCATAATTTTACGTATTCTTCTTCTATTATAATCTATAAGAAATTAATTAATAAAATGAAAATATTAAACTCTACCATACTTTATTATTGCATTTCTTAATTAAGAATATATTTGTCTTTATTTGAATTCATTTGAATTTATGAAAACGTTCTCTACGTAAAACTCTATCCCATCAACAATAAGACATAATAATATAGCTGGTAATAAGTAGACGATTAAGAAAGGAAAAAAAAAATAAATAAATAAAAGACAGAGAAAAAGTTAAATCTACTTTCATACCGTAACACGTAAATTACATTTTTTTGTCTCAATTGTCTCAATCTGTAATCAATATTTTCTGAAATCTACGTGTGCTTTTAAGGAAACTCAAATAAAAACAGAAAAGTAAGTCAAAAGGAAAGCAACATTTACGGTTTAGCATTATAATACTGAAAATTGTATTTAAAATTTTTTTTAATTTTTCAATTCAAAACCTCTCGATTCTTAATATCTGCTTTTATTTATTAATTGGAAAATCTGTAACCCATTAATAAATATTTAATTTCACAATAATTAAAAAACAAAGCTAATAATAATTCCGAATGTAAAAAATAGTCCTCCATAATCACTTGCGTTCATTCAATAGTAAATATTATCGAAAGTTGATTGATATTGAATTTTATTTTGAATCATGTTTGGAATAAGTGTTAATATGATCTTTATTTAACATAAAAATTAATTAATGCACTCCCGGAATAAACTATTGGTCATTAGCATATTGGTCCATTAGTACAGACAATGGAAAATCTAAACAAATTCCGTATAGTTTAAAAATACGAAATTCATTATAGGATATTGGCATTAAATAAACGTGTAAAACTGACATTCATAATCATTTTATAAAATTATATTTACGTGTATGTACGTTCATTAACAATATCAATAGCACAAAACTTTAAGAATTCTCGCTAATGTATATGCTAAAATTGATTAAATTCTTTCATAGACTATCGATTAATTTTCTTATGGCATTTCTCGATAAGTTAAATAAAACTCTGTGTTCCATATTATAGGATTATAATAGAATTATAGATAATTATAGATTCATATTTGTCCGCATACATACCTTTGAGCGTTCCGTATGCATATATATATATATATATATATATATATATATATATATACATTGTTAAGTGTGAAACTTCGAATTACGAATGAAACCTGAAATGTTCAAGTACCTAAGTACCTACCCTGTCGGCTACCCCTAACCATCTTCATCTCTCACTGGAAGTGGCAGCGGTCAAGTTCGTGGTATGGGAGAACATGACCACTGCAGCCGACCTATGGAATCGAATCGGGAGACCAAAGATCTTAAAGCCCTAGCAACCGAGCACAGCATAATAGATTCTCGATAGGCAATAGGAAATGAGGCGAAATTATCTTTTCAGGCTCAACGCAAACAATACCACTTCAAACAACAATGCGCAATCGTCAGCACGGGATATTGGTCTGTGCATGTTTGTGTCTGTTTGCGTGCGCGCCTGTGTCAACAATTATCGCTCTCACCTTACTAGTAAAATCATCACTACGTATAAGGAATATCCCAGCATTTCCAGTCTACCGTGTGTTCCTCGCGATAACTGAAGATCTCTTCGCGCATGTCTACTGTGATATATACTTATATTTAACAGTAATATACAATTAAATAAAATAATTAATCATTAAAATAACAGTTGAATAATTTTATTGGATAAAAATTGGTCGTATGCATATAAACATAAATTAATAGCTATTCATGAGCGGTGAAAATTAATTATAATTTCAGTTTAATGATAATACGGCTTGTCTCAAACAATATTTGACTTTACAAAATTAGGTTTACAAGGAACGATTATGAAGCATCGATCGCAATCACTGTAAATACGTAACATTTAAATTAATAATTCTATTACACACACGCGCGCGCGCGCGCGACATATGTATATATATATATATATGTTTGCATATGTGCGCGCGTGTGTCTGTATGTTGGTGTGTGTCTGTGTGTGTGCTCTGAATTATCGACTCATTTAGTCCTAACATGCCATGAAATATAATTGAATTTGCTGTACATTTGTTTGGTTGTTATCAGATTTTACGTGCTCGAATATCTCGATATCTCGATATCTTTGTGGGTCGCTTAAGAAAAATCAAGTCCAATATAAAATCAGTCATCGTTATAATTGGCTCTAATAACACATATCTTGGCAAATATTTATATTATATATTCATTAATTCGATGTTCCGCACTGCCATATGAGCATAGTCCTTAAAATCAAGCCAATTTTTACGACGAATAATCTTAGACTTTACGAAGTTTCTTACGATATCTTCACATTTTCTTGCCAGTATTATCACTTTCGTCGGAGCTTTCCTTGTTATTTTTTTTTCCTTCTTAATGCAAACGTTAGAAAAAATGCACGATTCACGATTACCAATTAACGTACAAATTGCGTTCGACACGCACGGACAGCCAGTTTAACAAATCCCTTATGGCCCTTATTACGACATTTAAAAAAACATATATATATATATATAGAAACGTTAAGTCGAACTTCTGAGTCGAAGTAAGTGTTAAAAGGACATGCAGTTAGAGATAATGAAATATAATGATAAAGTACAATTGTGCATAGTAGTATGTAGTAAGAGACAAATAATACTATCACTCTAATCCTTATCCGTACAAACAATGAAAATAAGAGGATTTAACGCAGGATGGAATAGCAATCCGCACCATCGTCCGCTATTGTTTCGCAATCTTTAACCGCCTTTCGAATCTCCAGGCTCCAAGGACATCATATGAGCCGTGATGAGATAGACCGATCACAGCTCGTCGTGTATCTTGCCGCTTACGTTGCTCTCCGGGTTGCAGAGGGCCGGGGTGGCGAACTCCATCGCGTACTCGCATCTGCTCGGCTCCGACACCTGGAGCAACTTGTTCTCGACGCCGCAGCGCAGAGTGACGAGGCAGGTGCGCGCGGGCCCGTTCCAGCAGGTGTGGCCTCGATCGAATTTGGCCATGGAGTAGCGATTACTCGAGGGTCCGACCCAATCGTGCCACTGACCGAGGCTCACCTCGCTGCCGCCGTTCTTCGACCGTTGAGATGTTCTCCCGTACGGACAGAAGCTGTACACGTACTCGAGGTCCTCGTGCTCGAAGCACTGACCGTCGAGGCTGGCGAACTCATTGTCCGAGCCATAGTCGCGCTCCGTGCGCTCCTCCAGCTTCTGGATCTCCGTCTGGAGCTCCTGAAGGCTGCGCTCGGCCTCCCGGTAGCGATCGCGTATCCTCGACGCCTCGTCCACGATCGCCTGGGTCTCCTCGTCATATTGGGGCGGCTCGGGGGCGGCCTCGGTTTCCGGTGCCTGTCCGGTCTCCTCGAACTCCGATGCCCGTCCCTGGTCCTCGACGTCCTCTCCCTCCTCGTCCAGATCCTCCTCTTCCTCTCCCTCTCCCACTTCGATATCATCGAGGTGCTCCCGCTCCACCTCGTTTCTGCGCTGCTCAACCCGCTGACGCTCTAGCTGAGCCTCCTGCTGGGTCTCGGGCTGGGTCTGGGAATGGGGTTCGAAGGACTGGTGCTCCGACTGGTGTTCCGACGACTGGTGTTCCGACTGGTCCTCCGAGTGCTGCTCCGAGTGCTGCTCCGAGTGGCGCTCCGAGTGGTGCTCCGAGTGGTGCTCCGAGTGGTGCTCCGAGTGATGCTCCGACTGGGGCTCCGATTGGGACTCGGACTGGGGCTCAGCCTTCTCGACGTTCTCCGCTGGCTTGAAGACACCTGTCGAACGAGTCATTTGGTTAGTCGACTTGCGGAAGAGCATCTTCTTGAAATATATTTAGTAATATATTTAGAACTCTTGCAGAGTTCCGAGAGTCCGCTTAAGATCGTTAATTAACAAAGCGATGTATCGATCGCTGTACGCGTTGCGGAGAATTTCTTTGATGCCCCACTTTTACCAAGAGGCTCCTCCATCTCAAATCGATCGTTAACCAGACGGACATTTGTTTACGAGCATTGGACGGGCTGAAATTTCCTGGAGATGATCGCGCGGTGCTCGCTTAGCATTAAGCATTTTTCCAAACGAACGAGCCAAGAGTTTACACGCACAAAGCTTGGAGCGCAAAGCAGAAAGGAACTTAATTTACTTTTATGATAATGTTAGGTCATGGCCTAGATAAGGTAGAATTGTCATAGCAATTGCAGGATATGATTTTAATGCAAAGTAAATGATGATTGATTGACAAATGATTGACGCAGAGACAAATTTCCGATTTAAAAATATATTATTAGAAAGAGAGACGCGATGACGGCTCATTGTCAAGCTAAAATGTCACGTCTCTTTATCGAACCAACTATTGGCGAATAATCGTATGCACCATGCACACGGTGATTACTCGTACTTTTCGTATTTTGTAGGCTAAAGCGACATATATTGTAACTGTAAATAAAATTTGAGGTTAATATAAAATTACATTCTAGCCAGCTTCTTGTAATTTCAATATTGGCATCGATATTGTTTAGTTGAAATAATAAAAAAAAAAAAAAAAAAATTAAAATACATCAGAAGTTCATTACTTAGTCTTTATCATATAATAAATAATTCTAGATAATCTATACAAAATTAGTGCATCTTGTGTACACGACGATAGAGTTTTTATTATTGGAGTTAAAATATTTTAAGAAACGCATATAATCGATACAGTACCAAAAGCCACAAAATTTATTTTTATTTCATTAATATCAATATTACCATTTCTCATCAATATAAGTAGTAATATATTTGTGTTCTTTAGTTAAAAAAGGTAAAAGAAAATTAAAAAAAACAGTTGATTAAATTGTTCTGGTACATTCGATAAATAGCAAATTAAATTTATATTAATTAAATTAAATTTACAATAGATTTCAAACCAATACAATATCAGTAGTTTTCTCTCAACAAATTGTAGAAGCAAACACATTTATACACTTTTCTATTATACATGTCTATTATACACAGAGTCATGAAAAATTCTAAAACACGATTAGGTACACTTTGGCTTGAACAACTTGGCTCTTTAAGCTAGATTTACGAATGACAAATATCTTAAGTACGATGAAAAAACATAAGTCGACTTGAAAGTTTCAGTATATGAAAGTAGGAATTTTCAGAAACCCCAAAGTAAATGCAAAATAATTCTAACCTTTTTCAAGCATGAGGAACGGTTTTACATTAGCCCAGGCAAAGTCGATGAATTCCTGTTGTGTAATTTCTTCCTGGTTGTTCAAAAAATATAATGCTTCCTCTTTACTAACTTCTCCATTATGGTCCTTATCAAACGTCGCTCTGGTCTGCAGCTCTACTACCGTAATGGTACCACTCTTGTCTGAGTCCAATATTTGAAAGAATTGGGCCGCTTCTTCCGCAGAATTCTGATTCTCTGCTTTGGCTTGTTCCTCAGACTGAGGCGGTGATTTGTATTTCTCCAAGGCCAAAGCTTCGCGCTCTTCGATCACCGTTTTCTCATTTTCTCTCTCTTTTTTTATTAGTTCAGCCTCGTCGTAATCGATCCGAAGCTTTGCCAATTTAGCTTTATTCTCGGTACTCAGTTGCTTCCCTAAAGCGATATATTCTAAACGAATTTTATTACCCTCTTTGGCTAGTTCCGCAGCTCTCTGAGCCTCGAGCCACGCTTTCCTTCTCAATTCATGACAATTATCTACGCATTGAATATTGGAAGCATATTCGTCGCTAGCGTCGCAGCAGTCGCAGACTCCATCGTTTACCCTTGACGAAGGAATATACAGTGCTTGGTAACCTGTATCGAAAAAAATTTTATTAAAAATATGTGTAAAAAAAAATTCATTAATAAAACTTGGTCCCAATTCAACAAATCACTCAATATTTAATCTTTCATTTCCCATTAGCATCTTGATTCTCCCTACTATTTAAAAATTTTTTCTTGCAACATAATACACAAACTGCATGCATGCACGCACACACGCACACACGCACACATACACAGACACACACACACACATCATGCATTACAAAAATGATTTCTTCTCTTCCTTCTTCCCCACAATCCAAATATAAAATGGTTCGAGCCCTACGGCCTGTCATTTTCTTAAGTACTACGGACTCGTTTAGAGCTCCATGCAGCTGCGTCCCAGCTGAACTTAACTTCAATTCTCCGACACTCTGGTTGACTCGTTCGTACTTTGAGTCTCTGACTCATCCATCCCGCCAAAATAAACTTCAAAATACCATGTGTACTTGCTTCTGCGACCAGAGAAGACACTGACAGCTCATAAATGGGCTTCTTGCCCCATTATCTGGCAATTTATCGATTTGGAGCTCGCCACCTCGCGAGGGTACGACTTCACCAGCTACCCCATCTCGTTAAAGCTGAAATAACGAGACTGTAACGAGCTACCCTCGTCCCTCGGCTCTAACAGATTGCACATTCGCCTCTCTTGAAGAAATGGAGTGCAACAGCCGTAGGGTAAGAAACCAAAAAAGCAAAGAAACAAGGACATAAGGAACGAATAGGCGCGGGGGAAGAAGGCGACGATGTGGAGCTTGAGAGGTGAAAGTCGAGACCTGAATTCTGACAGTAGAAGGAGCCATTGGCGCAGGCGGCGGTGCCGGGCTCATCGCTTCCGTCGCCGCAGTCGCAGTAGTCGTCGTTTAGCCGGGAGTAAGGCAGCTGGAGGCTCCCGTCGAGGCACTCGAAGTCCCGGTCGGGCGAGTAGAGCGAGCTCTTGGAGACGGGTACGCCGCGGACGCGTGGCACTTGGACGCCGGCCTGGGTTACGTGGCGGCCGAAGCTCGCTAGGACGGCCAGCGAGGTTAGGGTAAGCGGGCCGAACCACCACATCCTGGCCGGGCTCCACTCGTCTTCGAGAACCGCGCAACACCTCGCAACTCGTACTCACGCTTGCACAAGTAGCCCCTCTCCTCGAGATTGCGCGGCCTTCACAAGCCGGTCTTCACACCCTCGCGAACCGCAAACTCGTGCGCACATTGGACCGCGCTCGACGGCAGTCGCGTCTCCGGATGCGTCGCGACGGAGCATCGCCGTCGCGAGTCTGCGCAGAGGATTGGACGATCATTGGCCCGCGGGTACGCGCGATATTACGAACCGTGAGAAGCGTTTGGCACTCGGAGGATGATTGCTGATCATGATCCAATGGGGCTTTGGCGATAATAGGGGGGGGGGGGGGGGGGGTTACAGGTGATGGATTTTTTAATTTTTGCGATTCTGCTTTATCTGTCGCACGGAGTCTGTCGGTGAGAAGTCGTCCTGAACGAAGAAAGCGAGAATCCTTTAGTTTTATTGGTCTTGTTTATTGTATCTTGAAGGTGTGTTATTGGTATATTGACTGGGGAATGAATTTACGAGATGGATTTGATTAGGGATTTAACGAGATAATGCTCTCTTTCGTTGTGGCGCGTGGGGCGAGGGGGGGGGGTGCAAGGGTAATGTGACGTAAGATATAAATAATGAATTAGAAATGGGAAAGCGAAGACGAGTGCATGAACATCATCGAGGTATATCATTAAATATTTTAGATTAAATTTGTCAAAGAGAGCTAACGACTCTCTTTATCTTTATTTATTCTTAACGGTACAACCTAATACGTTGAATTCTTTCCTCTAAAAATTCAAAATAAGGAGAATAAATATGTAAATTGTGTGGCCGAGTGGGCGAGTCATAATTATTCGATGCTAATTGATACAAATCGTTCGTACGAATAAACACGGACTAAATTATTTTATCATCGTGTACCTGTTAAATATCTTTATGGTAAATATCTTTATCATCATGACGATGTAAAATTACACTACGCCTTATTCAAAGAGACGTTGTCGTAAAATTAATAAAATGAGACAGACTATAAATGTGGGCGGAAAAAATGGTTGAGATTAGTTATCTAATCGAAATAGAATGGCAATAACAAATTTATTCAAGAAATTTTGTCAATTGTCACAATGATTTCGAATGAAATTTGAACTGATAATAAATGTTTTGTATAAAGTGAAACTCGTGCTTGAAGAAATTGGCGTTTCATAGATGGAAAGTGTATTTCCGAAGAATTGGCCCGACGAAGAAATTTAATAAATATTCAAATGTGATATACAGGCTCGATGATTTTTTTACCTTTTCAAACGTTCAACGATTAACGATGACTTTTTCATAAAATATACAATAGTATGAAGACTGGTTATTTGTCATAATTTTTCGTTAAACTCTTCTACGGATAATTTATAATTTAACGTTAAATTTTAAAATTCAACTCATTCCTAAGCTCATTGATATTTGCAAATGTAATAAACCAGTCTAATAAAAAAAAAATAAAAAAAACTAATTAAAAAATTCTAAGCATTTTAATTGTTTCATGTAGAAGATCGAGAAGGAAGCGATGAAAAGAGCTAGGATGGTATTTTATGGATGTGTAAATATTTGTAAAAGTCCTCGAGAACAAGGATGCAGGGTATTAATTTTTTAAACGATAGTTTTCGCTATTTCTTACTAGATAATTTTTGCGATATTTCGTATTTGAAATAAACTTAACAAGCAAAATTACGATTGCCCTAAACGTGCAATCATCAATATGTGATGAAAATGATGCAAATGCAGTATGCACGTAAGATTGTACTTCCGTATATGTTTAGAAATAGCGTATCTCTAAACTTTTACAAACTAAACGACTTTAACTGTCAAAGGCCGACATTACATTGCTAATAATAATAATAATAATAATAATAATAATAATAATAATAATAATAATAATAATAATAATAATAGTAGTAGTAATAATAATAATAATAATAATAATAATAATAATAATAATAATAATAATACCAGCAATAATATAAATGTTATCACTACAATAAATTTATCGACCCTTAGGGTTGGGATTCTTATTTACTTATTGATAGTTTTAATTGACACTGGGGCTCCAGAGCTCAAATAAAATTATTTTTCATAATATAGAATTGAGAATAGGGATGGGTTATGTAGATCTATCTTCGCTTGCATTTTTTTTTAAACAGTCATACATGACGACAGAGAGAGGGAGAGAGAGAGAGAGAGAGAGAGAGAGAGAGAGAGTCAGAAATTGTTCTGTCGACCTCATTCAATAACGATCCTACAGAGCACCTTCTATGCCAATGATCACCGATCGATGGTTGCCACTCCTATTACAAACTTCATTTTTCTTCACTCGATTGATATCCTTCTCCTTAATTTAAAAAAAACATGACTGTTAATGGACCAGTTGTCCTGTACTTAGTTGTTCGCAGCCAAAGTCCTCGCGATTATTTGCGTTCTGCCCGCGAGCATCCAAAGCAACTACACTCCGAAGCGAAATGGCCAGAATCGGGTCAGTTGCAGCACTTTCTTATTGCAGCCTCCTCCTCCTTCTCCTCGAATAGTCATTTGGATTGTGCGAAGTTTTGCAGTCTGCGCAATGTCCCCGACAGAGACACGACTTTGGGTATTAACCTCGGCATCCGTGGCCGCCGAGCCTGGGATTTACGAATCCCTGTGGACCGTAATTGATTCTTGCCTCAGCGCGTCATCCACAGTTGGCTAATTTTTAACGCACACGTATGACTACGTAGTTGTACATGTACTCTCATATAATAACCTGGATAATATGTGTGAGAGGCGGTAAAAAGGAACGATTTGAAATTGTATTGTAAATGAGCGCTCGACGAGTATTTGCATTCGAGACATTTTAAATGAGTTGAGCAAATGAATGCCTGAAATGTATAATAATTGTAAAAGTAGAAGATAATTTTAATGTTTTTGGGACGATAAAAAAAAATAGAATTCTTTTACAGTTTCTTATCGATTCGTAAATCGACTTTATAAACTATAAATGTCTAGAAAACATTGCAGAGCCAAAAGAAAGAATTGCACTATGTGTGCGTGAATGTGCACAGAGCTTATTGTAGCAAACGAAATAAATAGTTTCGTTATAGAATGAAAAAGCAATGGAAAAATGAAATTTATATTGCACATCAAAAATATCATGTCCATGTATATAATTAAAATATTTCAAATTGAAATAGCCGTGTTTAATAATAGTTTAATTTCCTTATTTATAGATGAGAATATAAATATAATTTAATACATTTTACACATATAGAGTGGTAATTTTGTTAATTTAAAAGTTCTACTAATACTATTCTAAACACGTAACATTAAATTCATCGCGTTTAACCATTATAAAATGATAATAAAGTAAAAATGATTAAAAAAAAAACATAATCAATAGATTTCGTTATTAAAATTTTTTAAATTATCAAAGAACGGATCAGTGGCTTCTCGTAAGGGACTAAAAAGTAAATTTCAAGTAAATTTTCTTTTTTTCATTTACACGTCTATTCGTGCTTCCGCGGATTCTAGCAACTAATCCCACTCTACCGTTTAACTTTACATCTTAATACACATTGTACCTAGACGTACATGTGTACTGGAATACTTAAGAGAAGAGCTTTCTCCTCATTGTAACTTCTAAAGCACCCAGAGTTCTAGATATAAACCATAAGTGATCGTACATCTGTAGTGTATACCGTACTATATACACTTTTGTGTATTACTGCTAAAGAGAGAGAGAGAGAGAGAGAGATAGATAGATAGATAGAGAGACAGAGAGAGAGAGAGAGAGAGAGAATAACCAAAAAAAATTCTATTCGGTGCAACTTTTCGAATATAAATCATTTATTCTATTTTTCATAATCATAATGAGTCTATTTGTTCACGGAATATGCATTTATACTCGTCTACCTACATGAATTTTTATTCATTTATGTACTTTCTTTCTCTAATAGGTATCGAGTTAAATACAATGGAAAATACTTTGAATTATTTTCGTAGAATGTGTTATTGTATTTTGATAATTTAACGATATAATTCATTCTAATTTTGTTTATACATAATAAATAGGATTTCGTGCATTTTTAACTGAATAAGTGCTTTAGTGACATACTTTTATTCATAAACGTATTAAATAGGCTAAATATTTAATACAAACGTACCATTGTTTACGCAATTTTATACTATAAATTACAAGCGACTCGGCCTATTAATATCGGCAGCGCTTCTCGATTGATTTGACACAATTTTTTCAACGTACTCTCACAACTTTGCATGCGCCAGCGTATAATGTAATCTACTTTTGCGCTATTTTATCGTCATACGCTCGTTAACCAATCTATGCAGATGATTCGTTGATTATTATTGTACTTTCTTAATAATAACTTGCTCATCTCGATTATAATATCCGTGCTACATTGATTTTCCTGCGTATATACAACAAACCTTATGCATCCATATGGGAGGAGAAAAATTTGAATATAATAGAAAATTAATTTACGCAACCAGACGTGGTGACCGATATTATAAAATGTTTGTCACTCGTTAAATATTTTAATAGGATATGCGCAAGGCTCAGAGCTTTATCTCGGAAAATGCAATATTGCCTTTATGCAACATAAACCTCTCGATATAATGGCTTAAGGGAGCCTTGAGCTGCTTTAACTATCCGGATGAAGCATTGTCCACTGGCCGAATGGGAAAACACTTGTCGTGAATAAGTTGATTCGTTCCTTCTTGAGATCCTCGCTTCGATCTGATATGTCTGCTACAATTCGTACATCATCATCCACGAAACTATCGGCGGATTAGAGCAGCGAAGCTCAAGGAAACCCGACTATTTGATTGGAAAGCTTTCCCAGGTCTGATAGTCTGACATAGTGTGCTCGCAAATTCAGATGTAATTACGAAGGGCAATGGGAAGTTAATTTCTTTATCATTCGCCCATTGTCATAAAATTCGTCATAAATCGATAATCCACTGAAATTAGAGGTGATGAATTTCAATTTGCAATTACGCTACACTGCACTCGAAGGTAGATAATTTGTATTATTCATTCAAAATCAAGGCGACTTTGTCACGTAAACGTAAACGTAAACGTAAGCATAAACGTAAACGTAAACGTAAAATGAAATTTCTTTGTAAATTTGAAATAGCGGCTGAGGTGTG